CCAATATGGGGCCTTCGTTACTTCGTTCTAGCACCACCATATAATTCAGCAGCACTTTAATTTATTTTCAGTCCTGTAAGGGAAGATTTTTTTCTATTCTGACAAACTTATTTTTTTGACTGCTGCTGTAATGAGCAGTAAATGTGACAAAGTACAGATATAGCACGGTGCACGGGTAGATATATTGCAATGTACACTCACACAAACACATACATATATTACTTGTACAAGCTATGATGCAAATATGCCCATTACAGAAAACAGTTTTAATGAGTATGTCGGTATAAACAGAAACATATATAACATGCACATGGCTATGTACACAGAATCACAGAATGGTTTGGGTTGGAAAGCACCTTAAAGACCAGACAGTTCCAAGCCCCTGCCATGGGCAGGGACACCTCCCACCAGAGCAGGTTGCTCCCAGCCCCATCCAGCCTGGCCTGGAGCCCTGCGGCGGGGGAGGGGCCAGCCCCAGCTGCTCTGGGCAGCCTGGGCCAGGGCCTCACCGCCCTCACAGGGAAGAATTTCTGCCTCAGATCTCATCTCAATCTCCCCTCTTTCAGCCTGAAACCATCACCCCTTGTCCCATCACCACACCCCCTGACCAAGAGTCCCTCCCCACCTTCCCTGCAGCCCCCTTTCAGCACTGAAGGCCGCTCTAAGGTCTCCCCGGAGCCTTCTCTTCCCCAGGCTGAACCACCCCAACTCTCTCAGCCTGTCCTCACAGGGGAGCTGCTCCAGCCCCTGAGCATCTTCGTGGCCCCCTCTGGACTTGCTCCAACAGCTCCAGGTCCCTCCTGTGCTGGAGGCCCCAGAGCAGGACGCAGCCCTGCAGGTGGGGTCCCACAAGAGTGAAGCAGAGGGGCAGAATCCCTTCCCTTGACCCACTGCCATGCTGCTCTGGACGCAGCCCAGGATACGGTTGGCTTTCTGGGCTGCAAGCACACACTGCTGGTTCATTTTGAGTTTTTCATCCATGAGTATCCCCAAATCCTTCCTGGCAGGGCTGCTCTCAACCCACTCATCGCCCAGCCTATATCTGTGCTTGGGATTGCCCTGATTGAAGTGCAAGACCTTGCACTCGGCCTTGTTGAACCTTGTGATTTTTGACAGTTGTTCAGTTATTCCACTATTCAAGTTACCTAAGCAACAAAACAGTGTTTAAATTCTTTTTTCCCTTTTACATTTCAAGTTAATAGATTTTTTTTTTTCCCAACATGCCTGACAAATTGCAGTCAAAATGTCACATATGTTCTGAAACCCAAACTCACTACCAATGCTCATGGATGAATTTGTAGAGGGTAATGACTCTCATGCTTACGGTTTCCAGTCAAAAGCCATACAACCCTATATGGCTTGTTTCCTTGTTTGCTGTCATTTAATCTCTATGTAATGCTTAACGATGTAAGTTGAAATTAGTGGTTAAAAACTGTCATTTTGCTAAATGTATTTCAAGTCAAACACATCATAGTTCGATAAAAATTATGTTTCTATGTCTGCACACACCTACGATAAATACGAGTACACAAAGTATTAAACTGAGTTCTTCAGAACAAATTTGTATAGTGATGTGATTATACAGCACTAACATTAGTCATAGCCATTTCTGCTGCATATCCCCTGCTTTCTTTTACTCATTTTCTGACTGATATCTTGTAGAGCCAACAGTAGTTTTTCATTTAGACCATTTGGTATGTTGCTTTATAACAAACGCTTGAGATTCCCTGGAAGGAGAATGAACAGTTTTTAAGACTGCCTAGTTAAATCAGATTCTTCCAACATTTCAGAAAATAATTTCTTAATTCAACAACTGTCAAAATCACGAGCTGAAGAACTCCAAACTTCAGTTTATAGTGATTATTCACTATTAAAAACAGTTCACAGTCAATTCAGTAATGACTAAGAAAGAAAACAAAGTCTCATAAGCACAGTGCTAAGTATTGCAGTAGGAGCAGACTGAACTCTGAAGTCTACAGAATATGGCTTTAAGTTAAGCTTTACCCAAAAAAGAGTGGTTGAATTTGCCATGAGTAGTGGCAAAATAATAGAAGGGAACATGTACAAGAAAGACATTGACGTGTTAGAGCGGGTCCAGAGGAGGACCTCAAAATGATCAGGGGGCTGGAACACCTCCCCTATGAGGACAGGCTGAGAGAGTTGGAGTTATCATCTCACACTGCCTAATGCCTGATTACCAGAAAATACTATGTCCTCTTTTTTATCCATGGTGCTGAACTTCATTCTAACCAACAAACTAATTAAGGTGCAAAATTGCAGGCAGGTTTCTGAGGATACTAACTGCATTAGGCTTACAACACTGAAAGTTTTAAGGTAACAAAATGTGCTTCAAAATGGTATGCAGAGAAGTTAAAAATGATATTTTTATCTCTTTTAGATGTAAACATTTGCTGTGTAAAATCTTTTTTGTGAATGTTACGCAGTATTTTACTTATTCTTGTGCAATTTATTTAAGTGACTATATATCAGAAGCCTGAAAACATTTTTTAAGGAATCTGTTGAACATAAATACTGTTCTATCTGATGAGAAAACTTGGAGAGTTTGATTTGCTTATGTACAACTTGATTCAAGTCACAAAAAATGTGTTATCTGTATTTGTGTGTACAAAACCTTAACTTCCAAGGGAGCTGCACAGTCTCTGTTGGTTTTGTTAGACTTTCTTCATTCCTAGATGATGTCCTTTTTAACTGGTAACAGAAGAATATAATGCATTTTGGGGCACCAAAAGAATTGCATTATATGTTCCATGAAACATTTGTGAGAGGAATGAAGGACTTTTTCCAAAGACTGGGGAAAAGTGATAGGAAGACCTGCAAGACAGTGACTAGTGTAAGTAACGCATAGCTCTTGACAACTGCCAAAAGAACATTTTCTAAGAACCTCTTCCTTGTAGAACTAAAATATTTATGATTATTGTGGTTTTTATGCTTTAAAGGCTCCATTTTTGGAGGTCTGGACTTGTAAGCGAGGGAGGAAAAATATGTCTTGAGGTCTGTGATGAGTTTAACAGCCTCGGTTATTGCTATCCATTTATTTTCTTGAATTTCCAATGTAAAGATTCTCCATTTGTACTGAATGGATTGGTATGTGGCATATCTCTGGTATGCATGCTATCTAACAGATCAGGCATTTTTAATGCAGTCCCTTTATCTTAAACTGTATTCTCTGCTTGCCTGCCTTTCTGTATCAAAGAAAAATGAAACAAACCCCGAAACCTTCAGGATTCTCTGTGTACTGACTCCTGAGCTTTACCAGCATGGTCTGTCTCTTCATTCAGGAAAATAAAACCCACTTTGAAAAGAAAAACCAGCAAGCATTAAGGCAAAATTGATTTTATCAGTCTAAAATGAAAACTCGGAAAGTGCAAGAAGTACAGAGAAAACGTGGACAGTGTAAGTGGAAAAGATGGAAGGGAAAACGAGGAGACAAGCATTGAAAAATGGGAAAATTTTTCAGGTGGAATCACTTCTGCCAAAGCATGCAGCTCCTGGGTGGTGTCAGGAGCTCTGAGGACCACAGTGACACAATACGGGGTTGGTGATAGATGTGACAGATCAGCAGGAGCCCCCTGCTCTTCCCTGTAGCCTGTAGTAAGTGTGGTGAGTGGTACCAACCGAGAGATTTCTAAGGCTCTCCAGGTCCAATAAATGTGTGGGCTCCTACCCACCACAAGGCTGGCAGAAGGAGGAGGAGCAGCACAGCACGTCAGTTGCAGAAGATGCCAAAGGTACTGCACTTTCCCTAGTTACAACTACAGTCTCCACTGCAATAAAAATGTCTTTTCTCCAGTTCATGAGGAATTCTGCACTCTTCTGTTCTGTCCACATTAACACCTACGAAGCCCTTCCCTTCCTGAAGGAAATGCCTTCACTCATCTGCTACCCTTTCACACTTCGACGAAACCTCCAATATTATTGGAGGGTGGGGGGAAAACTACACATTTTTTTTCTGAGCCACTGCATTTTAATTCTGTTGCACTGATTTTTGTGTGTAACACCTCCCGACAGCCATGTATTTCACTGATAAACCATACAAGACTATTTGCTTAACAGAAAGAAATACAGAATTATTTGAATTTCAAATTCATCGCACCTTGTGCAAGCAAACAGGAGAATGGAGTGGGAAGAACAAAAGTGTTCTGATTAGTCGTGTAATGTGTTGGGAAAGGTTGACTTAAGATAGAGGACAGGAGCATATTCTGAAGAGAAAAGGGCATTTCCAGCAATTGCTAGTGGCAATGCTGCATCATCTCAAAGGAAAACAGGTACTGAAGAGAAGCGGAAGTCAGGAAAAAATATTTCACATTCTCCCATAACAGCAGTGTCAAGTAGCAGCAATAAAGCCTGCTTACATTTTAGTACTTGTTATCAATTAGTGCAAATGCAAACATACACGGGCCCTGATCATTATGCTGAGATTTGGACTTGCATTAATATAATCTAGAAATTGATGCCATGTAATTCACTTGATATAGCAAACTATTTCATCAGTTGTACTGAGCTTGTTTAAGGCTGAAAGGAAAAGCGTGAGACATACGGACCATGGCTGATCTCTCTTTTTACAGACACCTGAACAAATATATCGAAAACATAAACTGAGAATTGCTGTAATAACACACACTCCCACCCATGAAACAGGAGAAAGGAAAGGCAGCTCCTTTTCAAAGCTCACAGATCAGCTTGAAACCTAGATTATTTCCTCTCAAAACCAAGGGTGCACCAGCAAAAGAAACATCAAACTGAATCAGTCTGGGCTTTCATGTGAAATTAAAGAATGAAGACTTGGTGCTTCTTTCAGATTGATATTGGTATTGACTTTTCAATAACAAGCACATAACGGAATACAACTTCTCACATCATTTAGAAATCACCCCCGAGGACAACAAAAAGAAGTACGTTTTAAGGATGTACCTACTCCGAAATATAAGAAATAACAAGGAATAATAATAATGTGATGGAAACAAGTCTTAGAGCTTTACCTTTGTGGCGGCATCAAAACAGACAAAGCCCATGCTAAAGTCAATGGTAAGTCCCATAAGATGACTCTCCAAAACACAGGCATACGTCTTACACTGTAAAAGGAAAATCAGAGAAGGCAGTTAACACAGAACACATTTCTTTAAATTCTTCCTAGAGCCAGTATTTCTGTGTCTTTATTCTAATAGTAATAAAATTTAATTTATTTAAATTCTATTACACAATATTCTATATATTTGTAATAATTAATAATAATATTTATTCTAATTTTCCCCTGCTAAAAGGGAATTTTCATTATTTTTGAGCTCTCTTATTTGTTTTGGTACCCCGTAACTTCCTCTAACAGTAATACATTCCTTTTAGCTTTCTAAGAAAAACATTTGTAAAATATCTCTTCGGTATGCTGTTTATTGTGGCTTTGTGTTGTCTCAAATCTCAGTGAAAAAGGTGGTGTTTCATACTATGTAGCAATTGACATAATCATATGAAATACCTTTTTTGCTTCAGCTAGTGGACCAATATATCTCAAAGGTTTCTAGGAGAAACCTTAAAATCCTGAAAGGCTTTCTCATTCTGTGATTTTTAAAGCTATGCATCTATTTATTTCCGTAAGACTTCAACACATGCTGTGAGACATCTATTAGTGTCATTCTCAGGATCAAAACTATCGCTGTGCCTGAAGGCTGACTTCTGGTTCAAAATGATGAACTTACTATTTTACTTCACAAAATCTGTAAAAAAATTAAAACATTTCCAAACCTGATATAAATTCTTTAAAGAAGCCATTCTTATTTTATATAAATTTTACCCTCCAACTTAAATGATATATAGTTATATTCTCCAAATATTGTTGTAGCCACTAAATCTACAAAATGAGAACGAAGACTTCCATGATCTATAATGTGTCAAAGAACCAAAATATAAATTGTAAACATGAGCATAATGTAAGTTACTAAATTATCACCGTTTACAAAAGTATGTATTAGTATTTTTGCCATTTGGATTATCAAGGATAAATCATGTGCTTTTACTTGTATATTCTTTGGGTAGGCTCTCTGGATTCTAAGTGGTCTTCCCCAGAACACAAGAAGCTGAAAGGCTCATTAACAGCTTCTAAGAGTTGAAACAGACATTGTAATGAAGGTAAATGGAAAAGTTCACAGCTACATAGATTCTTTGCTTGTTTTAAATTTTACTTTCTTATACTTCAATATAGATTTCTTTTCTGGAACCAAAATATTTGAATGAGTTGCTTTCATTGACCAAATCAGGTCTCAACCACACGCAAACAGGTGTTGGTTGATCTTTGTGCACACACCCTGGAGCTCTAGAATCCAGGTTTCAAACACGGCGATACCCACCACTGAAGCTGACACTCTCTGTTAGTTATCAGTGGGGCCCAAGTGCAGCATTTAAGCCAGCCTATAGACAAAGCATGGCCACCTAAAACTCAGAAGTAAAACCAATCCATGACGTCTGCCTTTTGCGTTATTGCTGAGTAACAGCAAATCAAAGGTGTTCAGAAGCTGTAACTGTCTGCCAGTAAATGAAAGGTTTCCTACTGCTGCTGTCCAGGTGGAAAGCAGCAACTGGTCTATTCTTGTAGCTTCCAACACAGGAAGAACCTTATATAGTTCACTACATGTATAAAATCTGAATTCATACAGTATAGAGGTACACTTGGTCATTATAACTATTAATGCATGAACCCCTGAAATTTTTAAATACAAAATCGATGACTCAGCTCGGTGGTGTTGCAGTCATATGGTATTTGTGTTTATATTAGCAAATAAAAGTGGCTCTTTTTTTGGAGCAGCTACACAATAAAACTGCTATGAATATGTAAACTTTGATCGTAAATCAGTGTTGTTAGAAAAGGAGAGGTTATTGCCTTTGGCAACATCTCATTAGTAGAAGAAAAGAATGTAAAGTAATATATTTCACAGTGACTTGCTACTTAATGAATTCATATATGCAAAAATGTTCAGGTTTTGCATGCAAAGCAAAAAATGTACAGTTTTGTAGAATCACCTTCCTAACCTCCTACAGGATGTAAACTACATTTTTATTTGTAGACCTCCAAGATACCTGGAACAGACACAGAGCCTTTACTGAGAATTATAATTTGGCAAAGAGACAGTATATCAGATTTAAAATATGTATTGCTGTCTGACTCATCTGACCTCCCACCTCCACACCAGAGGTCAACCTACAATGTGCATTGCAGCACCATGCCGAGCTGGCACAGCTACCTCTGCTTAAGCACAGCACTGTGCCTGGGCTAATTAGCCTCACTGAGAAGTTCAGATTTATGAGGAACAGGACATATTGGTCTTGGTTCAACGCTGCACTGAAAAAGCAACCTGTTTCCCTGACTGAAGGTTCTTCCTACGAAAGGCAGTGCAGTTTGTGGAGAAACATCATCTAGTTCAGCTCAAAGTGGTTATGAGTAGGAAGAAACTGCATTGTAAGGTGCAGACCACCAGTAGTAGCTGATTCTGTACTTATTCTTTATTTATACATAAGTCCAGCTTATGGCCTTGGACCATGTATTCTATGATGTTCAAAGCAATTCAGAGAAGCAAAAAAGTGAGAATAACAAAACGATCTCTGGACAGCGAGATTTTAGTTTCTTTGGGGAAGAATATCCCTCGTGTTACGCATGTGCTGTATGCACCTGCGTGTGATTCTGGCCACAGGTCAGAG